GACAGAGAGAGGGGGGAGGAGAAAGATTGCAAAGGAAAGCATTATGTTGCACAAAATGGCGCCCATAAATCCAACAATTTCACTAGAAAAATAAGTGAGGTTGGCGAGGTGATTGTCCTTTCATGAGATTTTTTTCCCCTTCTCTCCTCTGTTCCAAAGAAGATTTTGCCAGTGCTGATTTTCATGAATTGTTTTGCGTTCGATAATGCGCCGACAAACGTTTTAAGAGCCGTGATTATAGTCATTCTCGAAGACTTGTTTCTATATATAGTTAATTCCTTACGTTTCTTTTGAAAAAAAAAATTGTAAATGTGGCTCCTAATGTATAAAACAACGAGTTACTAAAATCACGAAAATATAAGAGAGAGAAAGGGAAAAAGTCCGCCATTTTTAGCCCACTTTCAAAAACGGATTTAATAGGTCAATTTGCGACATAAGAGATTATTAATGGAAAATTCACGAGTCATTTCTAAAGCATAAAATATACCGTAGTTGTAATTCACCAGAAAATAATAAAATACGTATCAACCGACATGATAAAACGTATGAGAAAGTGTTACAAAAAATGGAAAGCTACTGATTATGTATAGGTATTCCATCACACAAACACACACACACACACACACACACACACGCACACACACACACACACACACACGCACACACACACACACACGCACACACATACACACACACACACACACACACACACTTATAATATTCTTTCTTTTTCCCAAAAAAATCCAGAGCGGCCACCCTCGTTCGGATTCACTTTTGCAACGGCTTTGACTTCGGTTTAAGGGATTTCCGGTCATGTATTGAATGTGTATATTTTTTTCTTCCTGTGTCTCTTCTGCTTCGTGATCTTTGTTTTCCTCTTCTTCTCTGTCTTTCTCTTGTATTTCCTTCTCGTTTCTTCTTGTTCATTTGTATTTTTATTTTTTTCTCATTCTCCATTTGTTTATCCATTTTTTTCTTCATTTCTCTTCTCTTCCTCGTTTCTTTTTTATTTTTCCTCCTTTCCTCCACTCCTTCCTAAATCTCTTTCTCTCGTGCATTACCCTCCTCCTCCTCCTCTTCTCTTCTCTCACTCCTCATTCTCATTCTCCTCCTCCTCCTCTCCTCTCTCAATCCCCATTCTTATTCTCCTCCTCTTCCTCTCTCTCACACCTCCTCCTCCCCCCTTCCTCCTCCTCCTCCTCCTTTCCCACACCTCATTTTCCTCCTCCTCTTCCTCTCCCTCATCTCCCCATTCTCCTCTTCCTCTTTCTCCCCCCTCTCATTCCCCTCCTCCTCCTCCTCCCCCTCCTCCTCCTCCTCCTCCTCCTCCTCCTCCCCCTCCTCCTCCTCCTCCTCTTCCTCCTCTTCTCTCCCACACCCCATTTTCCTTCCTCACTCCTCCTCCTCATTTCTCCCAAGCGTGTAACCGGATCCAATAAATCGTTCAGGAGGCGAAGTAAGTGCAGTCCGATTTCCCGTGACTAAAAAGAAGCATCAGTCATGTGTTTAACGTCTCACTTACGAAAAGCCAGTCACGTGTGGCAACTGAACGTGTGGTGGTTCTCTCTTGCGTCGGGGCTCTTGGTTAGGTCTCAGTGCCTCCGATCCAGGGAAGGCGGCCAAGCGCGAGAGAGGGAGAGGGAGAAGGAGAGGGAGAGGGAGGAAGAGAGAGGGGGGGAGGGAGGGAGGGAGGTAGAGGGAGAGGAAGAGGGAGGGAGATGGAGGGAGGGAGGGAGGGAGAGAGAGAGAGAGAGAGAGAGAGAGAGAGAGAGAGAGAGAGAGAGAGAGAGAGAGAGAGAGAGAGAGAGAGAGAGAGAGAGAGAGGCAGAGGCAGAGACAGAGAGAGACAGAGAAGAGAGAGAGAGAAAAAAACAGAAACAAATAGAAAACGACAATACCCCCCCCAAAAAAAAAGAAGAAGAAAAAAACACAATCACACAAACACCTTCAAAACAACAACACAGACAACACACGAACGCAATCCAATACACACGTTCCTCCAAAATTCCAGTTTCTTGTATGACCTGCCAATATCACTCGTCACCGTGCTTGCGTGATGCTTGCCTGGACACAAATGACGCGGAGATAATTTGATGTTTAGAAGCATCCGTAGCAAATATATTTTTTTTCTAATAAGCAATCATTTTTCTGTTTTGTTCGTCTTGATTCAAAGGCGAAAGAGATTGTACATCCGGTATCGCGAGTAATAAAATGCGAGGAAATAAGGGAAAAAACGAAAATGAAGAGAAAGAAATTGAATTAAGATGAAATACTTACAGGAAAATTGTTACTAGAGAAACAATTGAAAAAATGGTGAAAGTATGAAAGAGAAGGTAGAAGAAGAAGAAGAAGTAGAAGAAGAGGAAGAAGAAAAAGAGGAAGAAGTAGAAAAAGAAGAAATAGACGTTACAAAGGAAGAGAATGAGAAGAACAAGAAAAAGAAGAAGAAAAAGAAGAAGAAGAAAAAAAAGAAGAAAGAGAAGAAGAAGAAATAGGCGTTAAAGAGGAAGAGAATGAAAAGAAGAAAAAAAAGAAAAAGAAAAAGAAGAAAAAAAAAAGAAAAGAAAAAAGAAAAGACATTGTAAAAACGAAGAATAAAAATGAAAATACAAACAATAATAATAACAAGAAAAATAACAATAAGAAGAAAAGAATAAGAATAATAATAATAAGAAGAAGCAGAAGAAGAAGAAGAAAGAGGAAGAACACATTACCAGATGTCAAGGGCAGAAAAGATATTCTCACACAATTATCCGAAGCAATGCATTGTCTGGGCGCCGAGCAATATGTTACTGCTTCTGCGTAGAAAACCCGGACTTTTTATATTTTTTCAGTTATTTCATTTCATGGTTATTATTATTATTTTTATTATCATTATTATCATTGTTTTTGTTATTATTATTATTACTATTATCATCATTTATTTTTTATTATTATTATCGTTAATATTATCAATATGATCATTATTATCATTATCGTTAATATTATCAATATCATCATTATTATCATTATCGTTATCATTATTATTATCACTATTACTATCATTATCATTATTATTATTATTATCATTGTTTTTATCCTTATTATTACCATTATTATTATTATTATTATTATTATTATTATTATTATCATTATTATTATCATTATTATTATTATTATTATCATTATTATTAGTATTAGTATTATTCTCATCATCATTATCTCTATTATCATTATTACCGTTGTTATTATTACTAACATTATTATTATTATTTTTCCTATCTCGCATTAGAAGAAAAAGAAGATGAATAAGATAGAGAAAGAAAAAAAATCGAAAAAGAAAAAGAAGAAAAAAAAGTGAAAAGAAAAAGAAAAAAGAAAAAAGATAAAACGAGGAAAAAAGAAAAAGAAAACAAAGAAAAGAAGAACAACAAGAAAAAGAAAAAGAAAACGAAAAAAGAAGAAAAAGAAAAGACAATATAAAAATAAGCAAAAAAACGAAAAATAGTTAGACAAAGCAAGGGCAAATTCCCACGTCTAAAGAGCTCAGGAGTGTAATGCACCGAAGGAGAATATACGTACATGCATACATACGCACATACATAAATTTCTCTTAGTATGTGTGTGTGGGGGGCGAGGGCATGTTTGTGTGTGTCTGTGTGTGTGGGGGGGGGGGGCGTGTGTGTGTGTGTGTGTGTGTGTGTGTGTGTGTGTGTGTGTGTGTGTGTGTGTGTGTGTGTGTGTGTGTGTGTGTGTGTGTGTGTGTTAGTGTGTGTGTGTTAGTGTGTGTGTGTTAGTGTGTGTGTGTGTGTGTGTGTGTGTGTGTGTGTGTGTGTGTGTGTGTGTGTGTGTGTGTGTGTGTGTGTGAGAGAGAGAGAGAGAGAGAAACAAAAAAAAAGAGAAACAGAAAGAGTGAGTGAGTGAGTATCTATGCGCACACACACACACACACACACACACACACACACACACACACACACACACACACACACACACACACACACACACACACACACACAAAAAAAAAAAAAAAAAAAAAAAAAAAAAAAAAAAAAAAAAAAAAACATACACACATACATAAACCCCCTTATAAACATATACACCTATTTTCGCCCCCCTTAAAACATCAATCTGATAGACTTACGCCCTTGAGTCACCCAGGCGTCCCAGGTCAGCGACGCCGGCGAGGAACACAGGCCGACCTCGTACTTCGTCTTCACGTCGGGACCTGCGGGGAGAGGCTCGTCTTAGGTGGTGGTGGGGGTGGGGGTGGGGGTGGGGGTGGTGGGGTGATGGTGGGGGTGATGGGGAGATGGGGTGGTGGGGGGTTGGTGGTGGGGAGGGGTGGGTTGATGGGGGTGTTGGTGAGGGGTTGATGATGATGATAGTGATGATGAAAATAATGATTATAATAACACTAACAATATTATGACTGCTGTTGTTATTATCCATATTATCAGCATCAGTTTTATTAATACCACTACTACTACTACTAATAATAATAATGATGAAGATATCTATATATATCTATATCTATATCTATCTCTCTCTCTCTCTCTCTCTCTCTCTCTCTCTCTCTATATATATATATATATATATATATATATATATATATATATATATATATATATATGTGTACACACACATATATATACACATATATCACACCTTACATCAAAATCTACGAAACACAAAAAAATACCAGAACGCAATGATATTCTATAAAAGCAACAAAAAGACAAAAATCCTTAAGAAGGCTGGACTCACTGATCTGAAACTCCATGACGTTCGAGCTCCTCTCCTGCATCGCCAGACACGTGAAAGCTTCGTCGCCGCTGGAAGGGAGAAGGGAGGGTTAGTGTAAAGTTGTTGTTGTTGTTTTTAATGGTGAGGTATTTGTGATTAAGGGATGCTGATTTATAGAAGTGGTTTTGATAAAGTGTGATGTGACAGATGGTGAGAATATTTTTTATTTTCATATTTTTTTCTTTTATTTATGAAATGATGAAAATAGAGGATGGAGAAAATTGAGTATTTCCAAGGACCATTGATGCTGTTATAAATTACTGAATAGAAATGTTAGTCAAGTATATATATTTTGGCACCAGAGATAGTAAAAGAATAAAAAAAAAATCTGATTTAAAAAATACATTGGATATAAAATTATTTAATCATCAATAAAAGGATTGTTGAAAATTGTATCAATAAATGTTAAGCTGAAAATCTAAAGCATTTTTGTTTTTTTTTTCAAAATGTCTGGGTTTCCTGACAGTCAATATACATCCTATGCTCAGGAATTTACTTTGCTCCTATTCACAGTTTCCGCTTTTACGAAATATATTATCCTTGGAGACATCATCATTTTAAAACCACAGAACGCTCAAATATTCCAGATGACACGATGCAGAATAAAATACATATAATCTTTATAGACATCATCCCTAACAACCTTCACCCGAGAGTTAAAAAAAAACAACAAACCATTTCTTCTTTTGTTTAAAACCCTTCGATTCCTATCATCAAGGTGCCACTATCCCACTCAAAAAAAAGAGAAAAAGATGATATATAAACATCGAAAAATAAAGTTCTCGAAATCCTTGATCCCAAAAGCACACAGACAGATCACGAGCGAAGTTTTACCAAGCGTGACGTCATCATGGCTATTTTCGCTCGTTAGATTACCCCGGCGGGATGTCTCTCCTCGCGGCCCGAAAGAACCGAACGGAAGTAGTTTTCTGCATCCCTTGGCCGGCATTCCAGGAGGAGGAGGGGGGGGGAGGGGAAGGGGGAGGGAAGAGAAGAAGGGGAGACTAAAAAAAAGGAGGGAAGAAGAGAAGGGGAGAGGGAAAAAAGGAGGGAAGAGGAGAAGGGGAGAAGAAAAAAAAAGGAGTAGAGAGGAGAAGGTGGATAAGAGAGAGAGAGAGAGAGAGAGAGAGAGAGAGAGAGAGAGAGAGAGAGAGAGAGAGAGAGAGAGAGAGAGAGAGAGAGAGAGAGTGAGTGAGAGTGAGAGAGACAGGAAAGACTCACGGGATGGAAGGGTGAGAAAATTATAGAAGTAATTGAGAACCAATTGCATTCGCGAATAAAGGCATGAAATCCATAATAGGACATACTGAAGAAAGGATATGGAAATACATCTGACAATGATAAGTGACGGAAAAATAAATCAATATTATTATTCAAAATCATTGTCTTTCTCATTCCCATTGTTACTTTTATTCTAATTTATTATCATTCATTACTGTTACTACTAATATTACCATTAACATTAATATTATCGTCACCATCATCAAATAAACTCATAAAACTGAAACACAACGAAAACAAGACGAATAAATCAAAACAAAAAAAACAAATAAACGAATAAAAGATGCATGAAACAAAACAAATCAGAAAAAAAACACACGAAAAAAAAGAAAAGAAAAGAAAAGAAATGGAAAAAAACACACAAGCACTATTTTCCCCGCGACGGAGGGAGGGGGAGGGGGGAGGGGGGAGGGAACAGCCACCCTTCTTACCGGACGCGAAGGCAAATGAACTGCGTAATTAGTCAATCGATAAAGAAAATTGTCGCGACGTTATAACGAGGGGGAGAGGGGGGAAATAGAGGAGGAAGGAGGAGGGAGGGGGAGGTGGGAGGGGGAGGGGTTAAAGGAGGAAACAGTGGTTTATAAAAAAAGGGGGGGAGGGGAAGATTGGGGGTGTGTGGGGGAGTTATTTAAACGGCAGATGGATGGCTGTGAGAATATGCCGGAGGGGGAGGGGGGAGGGGGAGGGGGAGGGTAGTGGGCATGGGTAAGGATTGGGAGAAAAGGAGTGAGAAGGAGGGAAGAGAGAAAAGGGGGGAGGAGGAAAGAGAGAAAAGGGGGGAGGGGAGGGGGAGAGGAGGAGGGGAGGAGGGAAGAGAGAAAAGGAGTGAGAAGGAGGGAAGAGAGAAAAGGGGGGAGGAGGAAAGAGAGAAAAGGGGGGAGGGGAGGGGGAGAGGAGGAGGGGAGGAGGGAAGAGAGAAAAGGAGTGAGAAGGAGGGAAGAGAGAAAAGGGGGGAGGGGAGAGGGAGAGGAAGAGGGGAGGAAAGAAGAGAGAAAAGGGGGGAGGGGAGAGGGAGAGAAAAGGGGGGAGGAGGGAAGAGAGAAAAGTGGGGAGGAGGGAAGAGAGAAAAGTGGGGAGGAGGGAAGAGAGAAAACGAGTGAGAAGAAGGGAAGAGAGAAAAGGGGGAGGGGAAAGGAAAGGGAGGAGGGGAGGGAAGAGAGAAAAGGGGGGAGGGGGAGAGGAAAAGGAGAAGGGGAGGGGGAGGAAAGGGGGGGAGGGGAGGGGTGAATTCCCTAACCTGACAGTGAAAGGCTTGACTGCTCGTGGGTCAGTTAGGAAAGGAAGGGGGGGGGGGAGGTAATGAGGGTGGGAAGGAAGGAGTGAGGAGAGAGGAAGAGAGAGAAAGAGAGAGGAAAGGAGGGAGGATGAGGGAGAGGGAGGGAAGGACGGAAGGAAGGAATGAGGGAGGGTGAGAGAGAGAGAGAGAGAGAG